GTCTTTTTTCTCTCTTTGATCTTTAGAGCACTCACTGGGACCTCTTCCAAGATCCTCTTCTGAAGGCTTTTTAAATAAACTTCCACTCCTGCTCTGAAACCTGCCTCAGTCTCTTTTTCTGCAGTGTGTCCCTCAGCTGAATTCTTTCTTCTTGAGGAGGCAAGAACCGAAGTTGCTACAGACTCATATGAATAAGCCACCAGTAACTCGGGGTCACTCGGATCTCTTCCACTGGTAACAATAATCTCATTAAGTAGACACTATTATGATTCTCATCTTACACATGAGAAAAACATGGAGCAGAAATGTAAACTACAAAGTTTTACGTATTTAGTATGAGTAATTTAAACCAGAGCATATACATTCTTAAACTCAGAAGCCTATGAAGTATATCTCTTCCTTCGGGCCATGTCCAACCTGGTCCTCAAGGGAATCTGGCCACAGAATACAATTCATCTACATGACCTCCAGTGAACACAAGGGGATATATGCCAATCAAAAGAAAGGGAAGTAACATTTTGAGTGCCTATGGAGACCTGTTGGTAAAACAATGCTTCAGGTTTGATATCATCTTTTCTATTTTACAAATCAAGGAGCAGAGGATCAGACAAATTGGCCAATCTAATTCTAATAATCAGGTCTCCTATATCACAATGTGATGACATCACTTTCAAAGCCTCACAGCAGTCATAAATAATGATGTAAATAATACACTAATGAGAAAACTCCAGTTACCCATAGAAAAGAATTAATAATATTCCTCAAATTGCTGCTTTTACAGCAGAGCTAAAAGTATGGTTTAGAAATGAGTTGAGCAGACATGCACTTGGCTTGTTGACACTTGAGTAACAAAATGTGTCACAAATCAGGGGCAAGGGAAAACTTTGATTTAGATCATTTCTATAGCTTTTCTATTTTTCTGTGAGTGTAAAGCATCCCATGAACCCTAGATATCCTTAAGTAAGTCTACCAGTCTCCAGTCCTGCTGCTTGCTCATTCTCTGTGTATTCTCAGGAGTGTGCCAAGCTTCAGCAAAAAAGCAGTCAAGCTTCCAAGAAAAAATACCTTATACTAAAGATACTAGTGCCCAATCTCTACAGGTTTAAACCAGTCAGGGTTCCAGAAAGAGAATCCTGCCCATATGGTTCTCTTAGAAAGGTTTTAATGAAAGACATTTACAAAAGTGTGGCCAAGATAAATGACACCCACCAGAGAGGCTGAAGCTCCCAGAAACTCATAGCAGAAGAAAGCAATATTATCCTATTCTTGCCAAAAGAAGCAAGAATAACAATTGTTTATATTAATAGGATCCCAGTGAGAGCTGGATCACAGAGGAAGGGCCCCAGTCAGACTAGCAGAAGGACACAACTGCAATCAGAGACACAGAACCAAAGAGAAAGACAGCAAGGAGAAATACATTGCTTCTCTCTTCCAGTCCTTTCACCTGCCATTGCATTCCCCTGGCTGAACAACAGCCAGCTGAGAAGAACATAAAATATATAGAGCAGGAGAGTTGATGGGGGTAAACATCATGGCTCCCTAAAAAGCACCTGGTTGTTAGAACACTCACAACCCAAATCCTGTTCTTTTCATTTCAGGGAAATCAATCTCATCCTCTGTATTCTTCAGCTCCAGGCTGAAAATTCCATCTTTCTGATCTACAGGGCAAAGCTAGCCTCTACCTTTAGGATCGATGTCTCCCTTCACCCAGAAGGTTACCTCCTTGGTAGCTCCTAAAACAAAAATAAGTTGTAAATTCCCTAAGGTACAAGGAATCCCAGAACAGAAATACCTATTCTTTTATCTTAGTGAGTATACAAGTGTGAGTGTGTTTGGATTGAGATGTGAATTTAATTTTTTAAAATTTTCCTAGAGAAGTGAGAATAAGACAAATTGATTTCTCTCAATATGTTAAAATTGTCCTGCAGAAGAAGTTTCACAGAGGACCCTATTTATGTAAGGATAAACACTTAAACCTATACATGAAGTTAGAAACCCATATGGTAGCCTATAAAGAAACACCCAAGGGAGTGACTGCAAAGTTCATATTCTTTGAGCTTCCTGAAGTTGTTAAAACATGAAAAGCTGATTCCCACGCTCTCAGGTAAATGCCTTACATGGAGAGTTTAGTTGATTGACTTTCTTAAAATTACAGTGTCCTGCAGAGTTGGTAACAACTTATCATTTTATGTGTTTTACTGTTTGATCAATTGGCTTTTACCAGTTTGAAAAGTCTCAAACTCTCATCCAATGAATTTTAAGTTTTTTTTTTCCTTCTTATTCTCTGTCCTCTATAAAAATACACACAGAGATGAGAGACTACAGTCAAAGCATAATTGGCATTTGCGACTGAAGTACTGAATCCAAATCAGGAGAGTACAAGAGAAAAAAAAAACAAACTTTCCATGGGCTGTCACCAATACCATGACTGAATGCTCCAGAATTTTAAGAATTAGTGACCTTGAACTGTTGCAAGAGTTTTATTTTCAAATAGATACTTAAGTGCTAAAATTATAGATCATGTGTCTATGAATAAAAAGTGACATTTTATAGCTTCTTTTTCAAAACTACACTACTTTATTATTCCAGTGGTCTCTCACCTCATGAGTAAAAAGTCTTCAACTGTGTGCTGGCATTATATTTGTACATGATTTATGAGTGATTAACATGCGTAATCATTTGCTAATAATATACAAAGGAAAAATATTAATTTAGGGTAGGAGCCATCATACACACATGCTAGTGATTTTAAATCTACATATAAAATAATGTTTCTTACTAATTTTAATTAGGAGGAAGGTAAGTGTGTCAAATCCTATGAGATTGCTATTTATTTCTTAATAAGAAGCTGACCAGTAGTTCATACAATTGAATTTGTGATCTCCACCTTTTTTTCACATTTTTGTTTACTTATGTTTCATTGCATTATTTTTTTCTGTATAGGAATATTTTCAAGGCATTTGCCCATACCTGTGAGGGTTAGTGATATACTATGATTTGCAAGTCCACTCAATCAGGCACACATGGGTTTCGATAGATCACCAAATACTCACTGACTGAATATCAGTATCACTACCTACTACAAACTCTCAAGCATACAAACAAAAAAGAGAACTTCTGTCCATATGTCAAATATTAACATATTTTTGAATATGTATATGGTTGATTCTTATTATTTATGAATTCTGTATTTGGGAATTTACCTACTAGTGAAATTTTTTTACAAACTTTGACATTAGGTTCAGGGTTACATGTGAAAGTTTGTTATATAGATAAATTGCATATTAAGAGGTTTGGTGTACTGAATATGTCACCACCCAGTTAATTCGCATAGTACCTGATTGGTAGTATTTCCAACCTTTCCCTCTTCCCTCTCTCCACCCTCAAGTAACCCCTGGTGTCTATTATTCCCTTGTTTTAATAGGTACTCAATTCATAAATAATGATAATTGACTATATATATTAAATTTTTTATCATGGCTAACATAATTGCAGTTCGCTTCGAAAACCTCTATACTACTCTATTAGAGTCCAACAGGTGTGAATTAAAAAGAACCTCATAGTTGCTGCAAAACATAACTCCCACTCTCTTTCCCCCTTATATATTACCTGATTATCACATTACTGTTTGTTATTTCGCTCAGGAAAAAAAAAAAAAAAAAAAGAAAAGAAAAGAAAATTCGCTTGAATGGGTACTGCAGAAGGGATAGTGGATAGAGGTTCAATGGGTTGTATAAAATTGTTATCACATAGTTTTCACATGTTTAGAAGAGAGTGATTTCTGAGAGTGATGGCAAAAGTATTTGTCAGGACAGACTGTGCAAGGTGACATGCTGAGCAAAGAATGAAGGCTGGAAGAGAGAGGAGTTTTCCAGAGAGATTTTGTCAACTCTGCATACAGAGCCAAGTGATAAAAATGTTGTAACATTGGAGAAGAGGTTGTTTTGCCTGTTCCATCTATTTCTGCTGAAACTCAGCAGAACTTCTACCCTCTGAGGACTGAGTGTTTGGGAGTATCTGGAATAAGCACCTTGGAATGAACACTGGCTTTCTCAAGGCAGACAGGTAGAGCGAGGAAGCTATGCCAAATCTTCAATGAGATGAGTAGGAGATACAGCAAGAGCAGAAAAGCAGGTAGGAGGCAAAGTAGTAAACACTGGTTTTCCAAATTCATACCTAGACAGATAATCCTTTGAGGACACACATAAATAATTGTAAACACATTGAAGTTGATGATTTTCTGTCAATCAGGGCAGTGGGAGTTTGTGCTATCATTATTTGTTCCTTCAAGTAAATCTAGGGTTCTCTGCAATACATGAGAAGGTTGTCTCTGATTTGTGATGGAGTTGGATGAGGACTGAGAACAGGTCTCTAGGCTTGTCAAAGAGAATCTCATAGGTTAAACATACAGGAAGTACTTTTGATGGCTGTTAGATTAGGCAGTAAAAGTCAGACTGCTGAGAAAAATGAGGCTTGCAAATGACATCATTTCAAGAAATTTGGCAAAGCCAAGAAAGACACATCTGTTGGCTAACAAGAATTCACACTCAGAAGAAAAATTGTACAAATTAAAATTAGGACATTCTAACTATGTCTCTGAGTGAAATAGAGCAAGCTGTTGATAGATAAGCTGAGGCTAAAAACGTTAGGAAAAGGAAATAAAGGAAATAATTATCAGATTGCCTTATATTTTAAGTATAAGTGTATTTATAGATATTTATATATGTATATTTTTGTCATGTTTTTTCCTTCCCCTCCACTACAGCTTTACAGAAGTCTAACTGACAAATGAAAACTGTATATATTTACATACACAGAGAGATTTTGATTTATATATACATTGTGAAATGATTAAAAATGAATATATTCATTTTCAGTCATCCAATTTTTTGCAGTAGACCATTTAAAAGCTACTCTTTTCGCAATTTTAAAGTATATAATTAATACAGTAATGCTAACTATAATTACCATGCTGTACAATAAATCTCCAGAATTTATTTTAAAAAATGAAACACTTCACGAATTTGCATGTCATCCTTCTTCAGGGACCACACTCATCTTCTCTGTATCATACCAGTCTTAATATATGTGCTGCTGAAGCAAGCACAGGTATATATGTTTAAAATTGGTAGAATTTCACAAGGAAGGATCATTTCATTTATGTATTCATTCATTCCAACAACATTCACAGGGCACTAATCTGTGCTAGGCATAGCAATACCAGAGTGAAGGAAACAGACAGAATCCCCACCCTATTAGAGTTAAGAGGTCAGAGAACAATGAAGAGCCATGTGCAATGCGATATGAAAAGCACTGGGATGTGGAATATACCGGGCATTAAAGCAAATAGGAAAGATGCCTATTTCACAAGGAAAGCATCATGTAGGAAGAAACATGTGGCCCGTATCCCGGACCAAGTAGGGCTGATCTAGGTATGAAGAAGGGGAACGAGGACCCTGGATAGCAAATGCTCAGTAGCTTGGAGCAGAGAGGTCAATATGTACAAGGACAATAGCACAGTTGTTTCTGAAAGGAAGAGCTCTAGGCTTGAATGGTAAGAGATAAGGTGGAAAAGCAGCAGAGGAATGCAAGGCCTTATAAACTTTATCAAGAAATTTGGACATCATTCAAAGTGCAATGAGGAGCTCCCAACAGCTCTTAAGGTGGGAAATACCATACTCAGATTTGGGTTTTAGAAAGGTCACTGTCTGCAACTTCATCACTGCAGTTTTCCGTTTAGGAACCTCTGTGGAAATAACCCTTCATTTGAAGACTCTCCGTCAGAACCATATTCTGGCTCCCTGTGTATTTGCTTAGTGACTCCTCATCATCAACCCAATAAGAGTGGACTAAAGAAATAAAGCTAAGGAGGCACTAGTGATTAACAAAAGAGTCACATTTAAATTCCCAAGGTCCCTACATACTACAGGAGAATCCAATGTGAATACATTTTCCTGATAGATCGCTACAGTAAAGCAATTTTTTTTTTTACATTCTCACAGCAGCATGACGCCAAGTTTTGCAAATTTCCATTATAGGACCCTGATCACAAAGTCAGGTCCCAGAGAATGAAACAATATATAAAAGGCAAAATTTTACACTATATCAGCCTTAAACGGATCTTGAAAAGAAAAACAACAATGTCTTTTTTGAAATGAAGTCTTCAGGAAATTTTCTAATCCTGGGGCATTGCTCAAGATCCTTGGATATAGTTTGCTATTGTCTTGACTATGTAGTCCTCCACACCTGCTTTTTTTTTTCTTGTTAACTGTTCGATACATGGAAATCAGTATGGGCAACTCACAGACTTTCAGAAAGCCAAAACTACTTGCTGAAATTTTTTATGACTATTCAAGTTTTTCATTATTCCTACAGACTTCCTCTAGAAGGTTGCTTGAAAGGTCTTGTTACTTAAGGAGCTATGTATGGACATGTACATTTAATTAGACTTGTTATCTCTATTTATATCACACTTCTCTCCCTGGTACACTCTCTTGTCCTTTCCACACTTTGTCCCCTCCAACACATATATTAAAACAAACCAATTTTACAAAGAACTCACAAAGAGTTTAAAATAAAAGTATTTCTGTTATATTTCATTTTAAATGAGGTGATCGAAATAGAGAAAAGGAATGGAGTTACCTTTAAACTTTCAAAACAATATTTCTTCTACTTCTGTATTGAAGACTGAGAGCCACATTACATATATATGTAACTAGTTACAATTGGACGGGAAAATGATGGCTTAGCAACTTACTTAGGCTGTGTTCTAGGTATGTTTACATATATACACACATACATACATATATACACACATATATACACACATATACACACGTGTGCACATACACATACATATATACACATAACACGTACATATGTAATATATGTATTGCATATACATAATACATAAATGCGTATATATATATGGCCAGGATATTAGAAAAAGTAGGCGTGTATATATGCATACACACATACATACATACATATACATATATCCATACATATATGCGTATATATGTATTATAAAATGTAATATATGTATTACAGGTGTGTTATGTGTATATATGTATGGATATATGTATATGTATGTATGTGTGTATACACATGTACACATCTACTTTTTCAAATATCCTGACCATTCCATTGAATGTTTCATGTGTTCTTCCCTTAATCTTTAGGCCTAATTTTGATAATTGTCACATTATGAATATATATTTTTTTGCTTTAGACCTGGAGACTTTTAGTTATATGTATTATTTATAGAGAGAGTGACCTAATTGTACTTCAACTTCAATAACCACTGCATTTCCCTAAGTAGATGTAAGCAACATTTTAAAAGGGTCTCTGTATCTTAAAGAAGTAGATGAAAGGCTGATAACTGTGTAATAAAATTTAAATAACCTCTCCGGAGGCATTATTTTGTTACATACCAGTTAGTGTTTTAATTGAAGAAAACAGCTGACTAAATTGTTGCCTAAAACATTAGTGGAACTATTGCCATCTGACGAAATTTCATTCGTGTGTGTGTGTGTGTGTGTGTTACCTACAATGTACTTATTTTCCTTTTTCTTCTGTAAAACATGACTGAGATCCCATAAAAGTCAGATTGCAAAAATGATAATAATTACCATATATTTGATGCTAACCGTGTGTTAATTCATTCTCCACCCAACTTACATTAAAATCCAAACTCCTTTTCATAACTCACAGGGTCATACCTAATCCAACCCTAACACCCTCACTTTTGACATACTCTCAAGTCTTGAAGATTCTGTTTTCCTGGTAAAGGACACCAATTTTTTCACGGGCTAAAGGCAGAGGTTAAAGGGGAAAAGCTGTTAGGTCTAGACTTAAAAGATGACTAATCTAATCATCCCACCTGATGTAAGGCTTTACAGTTACAATTTATCTCAAGAATCGGTTTTTTTAAATCTATAGCTATTAAAATTAATGATTATGTTATTTGCAGCTTTTTTTTTTTCCTGTTTCCAGCCAGACTCTAAGCTCCACTACAGTATCACAGTGCCTAGTTTTATGTGTGGCACATTAGTTAAGTGCTCAATCTCATCTGCTGAGTGAATAAAAAGAGCCCTGCTCTGTGAATCTTTCACATAGTATACTGTCTGCAGATGAGAAAACTGAAGCACAGAGGAATGCATTAAAGGCATTATATTCTGGTGATTAACATGCAACAGGGATAGTATGAGGGGACCACAGGTCTCTGCCCCAAGGCCTTTGCTCTTCTGACTCCACCAGACCACCTCCAAGAATCAAGGCCTGATAATGACAGCCAGTGGAAATACGGTTTGGCAAGAATATTCTACAGCTGGATTTCGAACTCTGCTAACTTGCCAATTACTATTGTGCACTGAGAATTTTCATTGCTCTTCTGTTGTGCACCCTGATCTAAAATCGGACATGGAAAGAGGATTCCTGAACATGTTTTTACCCAGAGTTTTTTAGTTAGGACAATTCCTGGCCCTTACTGACCTCCCCTGGATTTTTTATTCTCTACTAAGACAGAGGCAACTGTGAGGCCAGCCAGGCCTTTGATCTCAGTCAAACCCAGGGATCAGGAAGCAGACGGACAGGGAACACATTCATACTGCTATGGTTTGTCATGACTTGATGTAAGTAATAACTGCTGGCTTATTTACCAATTTCCAAACAGTATTTATTCAGGGAACTAGATTGTCTTATATTCTTTCTCAACTTTACATTTCTTCCTTCCCTAATACTTAATGCATGGTCCATGACCATTATCAAAAGCAAATACAGCCCCGTAAGTACAACGTGACAAGGCAAGAATTCAAATTGGCTTGCTAATAATACTTAATTCTTTGGATTAAAGACATAATGGAATGATATTGGAAAAACGCGTATTGAGTGATTCTCAAGGTTACCTATGTCAAAGGAAACAAGAGCTGGACAGTAGTTAAAGACTGTATTCAGGAACAACTGCAATGGGGTGAGGGAGACCTTAGCAAAGAACTAGGCTCCATTCCAAACACAGCAAAGACAGCGGGACTTTATAGTCAAGCAGCAGGATGAGGATCAGTGGACAGAAAATTACTAAGAGAAAATATCAGAGGCTAGGGGTAGTTCTGGCTAAACCTATTTGACAGATTCTTGCTGAGGGTAGGCCTGGGTGATAAGATATTAAGCGTGGGAAATGAGGAATATAATCAGATATTGAAGATAGACAATTATTGCTAAACTGACTTAGCAACATTCTTGCTAGAACGGGGCAATGCAAAGATGAAATGGACACCCTAAGGCCTAGTTGAGAAGAAAGTTCAGAGGAGCATGACTAAAGGTAGGTTAAGGAGAGAGTCTTTATCACCTAGTTTGTCTGCACACCATCTACTACAATTTGCCATAGTAATAGGACGTTTTCCTCTTCATAATGCCCAATAGTCTTGATTTCATAATTTACCTATAGTAACTCATATAAAAAGATAAAACTTTTAGCATTTACATATACTTGGGCATTCTGTTAGTTATTTTAGACACTGTAAATCTAGCTCAATAGCCATTTAAAATTTAGTTTAAAATATTGATTGCTATGATCCAAATATTTTTCAAAGATAAGTTTTAAATTTTAAGCATAAACAATTATTGAAATCAGGCTTCCTAATGAACCCATGTGATCCTAAAATGCCAATACAGATTTTCCTTTCTTCAAAGGGATTTTATTTCTAAACTCATGGCTACTTTCTGCCCCTGGGCCTTTGTCAGGGACACAGGATACACTCTGGCTCACATCCTTAGGCACAAGCACTAGGGAAGAAGGTAGGATATTTGTCCCTTCCATTTCACAAGACTCCAAAGTTGTTTAATTTGAACCCTCTATTCCCAGAGTTCAACATACTTAAACAAGAATTATTATCAAACGCCATAAAATAAAATATCCAATTATTCCTTCTCCCCTGACAAAGGATGGTTACTCAGCTGAAATGTGCACAATCAGTAAAACCAAACTGAAGGTCTTTCAAAGGACAGAGTCTCTCTTCTCTAAGATGGAAGTGTCAATACTCCTTTAAGCTAGTTCCATATTTTATAAGACAATTTTTTTGTTGAATGCAGAAGCAAGGAATGCTTATT